CTGAAATGCACAAGCATAATGCTATCAGCCAGTCAGCTCAACATCTGTTCTTCAGATGTAGATTATGGCTGAAGGCAGACAGGTGGAGATTGTCCCTCTTCATCAGTCAGACGTTGTTTATCTTGGTTTTCCTGGCAGCAAATTGAAGATTTGCGACCATGACCTTAATAAATTGAGACAATCGGGCAGAAAGCGGGCAAGAAGCGGGTAATTTCATCACGACAAGAAAATGTAAGTGAGGAGCAGAGCAGGAAAACACATTTGTTTGAGAAATAAGGCCAAAAGAATTACCAACAAACAACAGAGTGTCCTTATTGCTGAGCAGGCCCCACATGCAAGCACCGCTACATTAGATGCATATGAGTTTCGGTGTCATCTCAGAAATACAGCAGCTTCGTTCAGTCTACGTTTACATCTGAATAATTGAAACAGCAAAACATACAAGCTGATCAGCACTGCGAGCGGGATTTGAATGGCTAAAAGAACTTCACTAACAGTGTGTGTTGTGATCTGGATCTAATCTAGGTCACTACTAGAAAGCAAGAATAAGCATTTAAGAGCATATTTCAGTCAAAGAAAGAAAAGGGAGTTGCAGCAGCATGCTAAAAAGCCCGTTAAGTAAAATCACTGCTTTGATATGTATTCATCTGAACAAACATCAGTCGGAGATTCTCGGGTTTGTGTTCTGCTCTTCAAACGTGGCCTTTACTCTCAGCTGCTATTAGCAGCTTACTCCGCGAGTCATTTTTAAAAATAACTCAAGGAGAGTTACAGAAAAAAAAAAAGGTTCATGACCTGACATTCATTCTCAGTTGGTGAAAAATTAGAAAAGTTACTCCTCATTCGAGCGCAAATCTGCAGCCAACGCTGTTAAGAGTCGCTGGGAGTTGAATGCTGGCAAATCAGCATGCAGCTCTGTGCCAGAATACACCTGGATCCCCTTCTTTTTGACACGCCAAACCTCATGGACTTAATGGATCCATATTTATTACCTGCTGATCCTTCTATAGCGTCAGAGAGTGGTTGAAGCCTATCGCACCTGACCTTCTTGTGAAACAGCCTGTGACAGGTGACCAGTTCATAGAAGTTCAATTCAGTTCAGTTTTATTTACAAAGTGCCCAATCAGAACAGCTGTCACCTCAAGGAGCTTTATATTGTAAGGTAATGACCCTACCCCAACAATCAAATGACCGCTATTGAGCAAGGCAACAGTGGGGAGGAAAAACTCACGTTTAACAGTAAGAAACTTCTTGCAGGCTGAATTCAGATATGTATGTATATTAATTCTGGTCTTCCAGTAATGTTAAAAGCAGCTTGTTTTGCTGTGACCTCAGCAGTTTGCTTAAATAACTCAAAGGAAGAAGAGCTTGTCTTTTATTA